AGGTAGTTTACAAAGAGGTTACAGGGGGGTTACAAAGGGGTATAACCCTGATATAACCCCCCGTTACCCCCTGAATAACCTCTGGACGTACGCAGCGCTGCGTACGTCTTATGTATGCAAATATTTTCCCAATTTTACCGAGTGCCCTTCCGACGGACGTCATGAGCGGACCAATTGCATTTGCAAAAAAATCAAATTTGGATAGAAGTCCTTATCAATATTGTTTTTTGGATTTTAATAATTAATTAATGGGAAAGGTTGAAATTGTAAAATTGGTATAATATTTTTTCAGCCACTAAAAAAGCGATTGGATGAGAATGTTGATTTCAATAATTGAAACCAATGAATTGCACCGACAAATAATTAACATTAAAAATTAATCATTTTTTGTTACAAGTAATATTTTAAATTCAAGTAACAGTAAAGCTGGAATGAGATTTATTAAAATAGTTGAATTAAAAATGTTGGGGAAACTACCAATTCCCCTTGCCTAGAAACTCACCACGGGCAACACAAAGAACCAAATGCTAGCTTAAAGATCACAGAACAAGAAGACAAGCATTACGTGGTTTGCTTCATGGGACCTACATCTATGAGAGAGAAATCATCTATCAAATCCACTAAGGCAATAAATAAGATATACAGAGCTTTTACATTGACAAATGAGCTCTCATTTTACCAAGATCTCTCTCTCAAATCACCTTGATATAAGATCTCCAGGATTCTCTCATCACTCTCTACAAGCTATCCTCTTCTTTCTATAACAAACTGATTTTTTTTTCCCTTCCCACTAGGGCTGTAAAGGAGCTGAGCTTGAGCGAGCTCAGGCTTGACTCGTGTTCGGCTCGTTCGAAATAGCTCGTGTTCGAAATCGGCTCGTGTTCGAAATCAGCTTGTGAACAGTGTGTTCGTGTTCGGCTAGAAATTGACTCATTAAACTAAAATTGAGAAAAATAGATGTAAAGTGTGAGATTCGAACTTTGATCAAATATATATAAAAGAAGACACTAACTACATTGACACATGAGGTGTTATGATTTAATCTTAGACATAAATATTTATAATATATTATTATATAAATAATATATGTAATATATTGTTATATAAAAAGTTATATAATTTTTTTTCGAGCCATTTCGGGCAGAACACGAGCGAACAAACTGTTGTTCGTGTTCGACTCGTTTACATTTCGAGCTTAAAAATTTGTTCGTGAACGAGCCGAACACGAGCTGCTTAACGAGCCGAACACAAGCTGTTCACGAACAACGAGCCAAATTGACAGCCCAACTTCCTACATTCCCTTCAAGTGTTCCTCATTATTTATAACTAATGAGTCTTGTACGAATAGACCCTGTTCACCAATTGAAAGCTTCCAAAATTCTTTAACATTTTTGATACAATTACAAGTATGCTCCTTGCTTTAGTCTAGTAGTTGTGAGTCATTGTAACAAAAATCTCTAAATAATTACAGCCATCCTCAAAATTACATTAGAATATTATAATCAATTTTATTTTTCATGTTTAAACCCACTAAATTCTGTGAATGAAGAGATTAAATATTTACCTCACAATTCTTATCCATTTATATAAGTAATTCCCGAATTTTCATATTTAAAATCATATATAACACTCAGATCTTCTCTATCACATTCAAATATTACCGTTACTTTCTCTTTCTAAACTAAGACAAACATCTCCACTTCTCCAAAGTCTTAAAAAATATAATTATTTAATCATAGAAATCACATATGTAAATACATAGAATTATGTGTCATATAGGGCTATAAACGAGCCAAGCTTGAGTGAGGTTAGGCTTGGCTCACGTTCAACTCTTTCGAAATCACTCATTTTTGAAATCGGCTCGTGTTTGAAATCGGTTTGTGAACAGTGTGTTCGTGTTTGACTCATGCATGAAATTGGCTTAGTCAAAATTAATTGGAAAAAATATATATGTAGAATGTTGAATTTAAATCTGCACCAAATCTATGCAAACAAAGGCACAAAACTACATTATCACACAAGCTATTGTGACTTAAATTTAGATATAAATGTATTATATATATTTTTATATAAATAATATATAAAATATATTATTATATAAATAATTATATGATTTTTTTTTAATTTCGATCTAAAACAACCCAAACACGAGCGAGCAAAGAGTTGTTCATGTTTGACTCATTTATATTTCGAGTCTAAAAAAAAATTGTTCGTGTTCCGCTCATTAACTTAACGAACGAATCAAACACGAGCTTACTTAACCATTCGAACTGGACAATGAGCTCTATTTTTGTCGGGTTCGTGTCATCAATGTGAACTTCCTCTAAAATGATGGATATGTATGGTTAGACACAAATATTCCAGACTTTCTCTACATACAGAAAACAGTCCTTCTCAACTTGAAGCTCTCTGAAATGCCCGGCCTTCTTCTTCTTCTTCTTCTTCTTCTTCTTCTTCTTCTCTTATTGTTTTTAGGTTTTATGCCGAGCGAGGTAATCGGCGATGAGAAGACGGCGGTGTATGTGTTCGGCGACTCGCTGGCCGATGTGGGGAACAATGACCATCTCTTCACGCGGATAAAGGCCAACTTCCCCCACAATGGCGTTGACTTTGGCGCCGCTTCTGCAACGGCAAGAATGCCGTTGACTTCATGGGTTTTTGTTCTCTCCCCAACCTAACCTTACTTTTTTATTTTTTTTTAGTTTTAATTTACGATGTATTATGTAAATAAGTATATTTATGCATAAAATATTATGGTTTCTTGTTAGTTTAATCACTAAATGTTTTATATATTATTAGAAAAAAAATTAGAATTAAATTTTATTTTCATTATAATTGGACTTTGAGATTTTATTCTTGAAAAAATTGTCGGTGCACATCTTCGATTGCTTTCTTCGATAAAAACTACTTCAAAGTGACATGAATAATTGTGTATTCCTTTCAATGCGTCGTAATAGCTCACTTTTGGACGGTTGTTTAGGGTTTAGGGTGTAAGTAAGTCGAGCCAATTACTCGTGAGACATCTCGGGCTCATTTTCATAAGTGTGATTCGTGTATTGAGCTAAATGAGCCAACAAGCCAAGTTGAAGTTGAGTGAACTCGTTAGCTCTGATGAGCCAGTATGTTTTAAAACTAATCAATAAAAATTACACATAAATATTATTAAAATTCAAAGATTTTTCTTTAAAATGTAAAAAATATGTATATATTATATTTTATATCAAATTATTTCTTATTAAATAAATCCTGAATATTTTTTTTTTTTATAATTTCATTATAATACTAATTTAAATTAATATTTTTTTCCTCATTTCACGCTAAACAAGCTGGCGCCTGAGTTAGCCCGAACTCTTTAAGTTAAGCTCGAGCTCGAAGTCAGACATGATTAATAAATACTCAAGCTTAAGTTGATTCGACTCTTTTACACCCTTAATTGTGGTTGTACATAAAAAAAGTTGTGCTAAAAAATTAAATTTAAAATGCTAGTATATGAAAAGTTTTAACTAATTTAAATGTCATTCGGGCTTTTTTACTATTTTTTTATTGGGGGCATTTACAAGCATACCACTCAATTTCTATGTATTATTATGTTTTTTTTATTCAAACAAAAGTAAACTGATATATATATATATATATATATA